ATTTAACACCATGTGTGTATATAATTCTTCATGTTGATGTTAATATTAACATCATTATATATAATGTGGATTTAAAATCCATGATAAGTCCACATCATGTTGATGCTACTAACATCAACACAGTGAGAATTATATAGACACCACATGGTGTTAAATCTACACTCATATTTTTTAGAGTGTATACGATTATATTGTTTAGTCAATGCAATTAAAAAGTTCCATAAAAAATTTTTTATAGAAAAAAGACTTCATAATACAAAGTCGAATAGCAAAGAAAAAAAGAATTTTTAATAATATATTAAGAAAATAAATTACACTTTTTTTTTATGGAGACATTAGTAAAGTTAAACAGTAAATAATACAAAAATTTATTGTTTTTAACAATCAAAAGAATAAATCAATGATCAATCGAATTAAATACATTTACCACTCACTTTCGGAAAGAATTATAAGGACCCCAGGCGCCAGTCCTTGTGGACGGCACATTCTGACTCTGAATGGAATATCTGCAGCCACCGAGAAGCATTCCGCAGCAATTCGGCAACACTCACGGCGAAAACACGTGATTCACGAATGTTACTAAATTCGCGGCACTAGGAAGTCGCAGTACCGTTGGAGCTCCCGAAAAAAAATCTCAAAAAAACGAGATAAAACGCGCACCACCGATTGACTTTGCAAAGAATACAATATATTTCAATGCGACAAATCTTTTAGAATTCTAAAAATTTATAAACGTCCTTTCCTCTCTTCAAAAACACAAAAGACGCGGGACACGACAGTGTTCCTCAGGCAAAATCAGGTCCTCGTGAACAACGATGATTCTCCACGGTTAATTATCGAAATCACACTCACGTTCTCCCATAAACGAGACATACCACCCCTCCCAATCCTTCTTACCCTTCACTACGTCGAGAATATGGAAAGAGTGCGAGATCACTCCGCTCGAGGGTGGCGGCGTTAGCGTGAACGGACTATGCTCCTCCGCGTAGCTGGACCGATCAATGGAATCAGCTCTCGCGCGAGATGACGCATCAGACAATTCCTCACGGTCGTGATCGAATCTCGCGAGTTGTCGAGTTCAGAGGGAGACATTCGCGGTCGATGTCACTCGTTGGAGGTAATCTTGCGACGATCTTTGCAATAATCTACAGCATCTACGCGATGGATCGCGGTTTCCCAGAGGGATGGAGTCTTTTCTCTCGTCGAGATGTGACAAAGCCCTATTATCTTATCTCGATGATCCGCTAAATGCAGCTAAAAGCGATTCACGCTTGAAGTCCTGCATCAATCTGTTTATCCGCTCGCGAATTCTACGCACTATAGAGATCGTGTTTCGAAACGTCGACCGCGTATCGCGCGGCGCACCGAAAACGACTGACGACAGACTGCAACACGAGTAGAGTAGAAATAGAGGGATGGAGGTGCGGGGGATAACAGGGGAGATGCGAGGGATGCGCCATGTCGACCACGGTGTAGCTATAAGAGAGAGGGACAAGGAGGGAGGCTGCATCTCTTCTCCAACACGAGGTTTGGAAAAAAATGCAAAATCATTATAAAAAAATTAAAAACTTGAATATAAAATACAATTCTTACAATGACATAAATCTCTAAAATTGTTTTGCATCTTCTTGCAAAAATAATTTAGCTTCTAGTAATTACTTCATTCAGCTTCTCTCTATATATAAAATTTGATTTTAAATCTTTAATTTGTAAGACATTAATTTTTTAGATATTGTGTGTATGTATCTAAAGCCCCATATATTCTAATTTTTATAGTTCTTCATTAAAGTACTGACTAAACATTTATTTACACCAAAATAAATATTTTAATTAAAAAAAAATAATAGTCAAATTAATGTTCTTGTATCAAATATAAAAATATGTTTACATTTAGTAAATATTTAATTAAAACTATATTAAAAGAAATATTGATTATAAAATTTAGTAATTTTTTTTTCAGTGTACTTAACTCATATAATCGATTTCAATTTGTTCGTTCAGATTAGACGGATATTCGTAAATGTAGAAACATGATTTGTACTTATTACAAATCTCCTTGGTCTCCTCATTTTCTTCGTTATCGACGGACGTGTAAATCAGCACGCAGTAGCCAATGTAAACGCCGTTGTACTGTCAGATCAAAGAGCGGAAGCTGCGGAAGGGAAAAAGGGACTCCACAAGAGAGCAACGTATATATACATCGGGAAAAGGGGGAGAAACGACGAGAGAAGAGAGAAGATACGAAGGGCAGAAGATTAACAGTAAATGACAGAAGCAGAAAGCAGAAGAGTATGGAAAGTCGTAAAAACACAAAAGCGCAAATCGATCGAAGACAGGGTTTCTCAGCCAAACAATTGTGACAATTACAAACGTATAATAATTAATGTTGCGTTAAAAGACAAAATAAAACACTGTGCAAAATTTTTGCGTCAGCTTTTTGTCTTCAGAATATGAAAATTTTTTTCATGTGTTATTTTAGACGACGCCTTTGTAATAACAACTATCATGCTACTCTTCCTGTAAACTAAAAAAACTAGCAATAAGAAAAATATAATTCTATAAATTACATATATTTTTAATTTCATATATTAATTAAATATATATATATATATATATATAAAAATAAGCGGCTGAAAATATAATTTATAGAATTATGTATCATTTTAGCTACTAATTTCTTAGCTTGCTAAAAGATTAGTAGCTAATTGCTAGTAAAAAAACATCGTACGTTTCTAAATTCTAATTAACTTAAACGGTGATTAATTTATCAAGCGATCTGTGTTATTTCACTAATGGGATATGACTGTTTATATTTTATCATCCAACACAAAAAAATTCGATTAAAGATGATAAAAATACATAGATAAATTTCGCTATAGACAATTCAGCCGGTTGAATTAATATCCGATTAAAACCGGGAATTCGAAGTCGCCTTGACGTTTGAGATCGACGTAGTGCATAAACGAAAGATTGATAACCGCTGTGATATGTAAGGTGATCCTTAACCTTGGAGGGAGATAACCGCTATTAAATGAATAAACAATGAGAGAATTCACGATTTATCGTGCAGTACATATAGTGAGATTATATGACATAACAATGTCATTCGCATGTCATTTTGCGTTCTCAAGTTATTTGCTTCATACTTTCTTCAAAAAGAGAATTCCGTTTTCCAAGTTAAATAGACATTGATTACGAATATGAGAGATCTACCGTAATTCTACTTCATAAGATGAAAAAGGGATTTGAATAGAGATAGAAAGATATAGAACTGGAATTATTAAAAACTCAAAAAAACGATATCGATTAAAAAAATAAAAATGTTTCGTAAACAAATAAATACAGAGCAGCGTGTACACGTGAGTGACGTCATTTATTATGTTCGCGCGTGTGACGAATGGAACCTCTGTGTTTTGACTGCTCTTCGAAGGGAAAGATATCGCAACAGCACCGGGGATGTATTCAACGAGCGGCACAGAGAGAAATATATGTCTATTTATATTTACAAATGCAAGAAGCCCCACGTGAAAGAGCTCACGGAGGGGGTTTATGACAAGAGTCGGAGAAGAGTCAGAGCGTTTGACTCGGCGGATTTACTTACACGTCGAAATCCGTCGATGCAAGCGTGTCCTCGAACTCTGCCATTGTGTCAAATTCACATCCTCTTGTATTCCGAGCAATTCGAGTATCCTGAAACGCGAAGGTGAAACGTGCGTGATTAAACCAGCGTTGCCGTTACTTTTCAAAACAGTGCTTCGCGAAGCGACCGCGCCATTTGTCGTGGCGTTCTCAGGCCTGCCAACTGTCTCTGGTCGTGGCACCTTCAAGGTCTGCCAACGTTGTCGAATTGAAAAAGATATGTCGAGGGGAATATCGACGGTTGGTCACAGTTCGACAATCGGTACTGTCGATTCGAGAGAAAATAAGTTAATTACAAAATATGCGGACTGCTGAATATGTTAATTATTAACAGCTGAGAGAAACCTGAGAGTGGACATCCTGGCCTTTTTCATGTACTACCAAATCTCATAGAGTATAATATCCATGTTTTTGTGGTTCTCTTCCATACTATCAAGTGGGTTAGACAAAGATAAATAATCAACTTTGATGGTTCGTCCTTGTCTAACCCACGTAATAGTATGGAAAAGAACCATAAAAACGTGGACATTACCCTATGAGATTTGGCATGAAAAAAGCCAGGATATCCACCTCTCAGGTTTCTCTCTGTTATTAGCAATTGTATTTTGAAATAAAGATAAAAACTCAGACTACTCAGAGCGATATACATACTGCTTTCTTATGTTCATGTGTCGTTATCAGTCATAATGCGAATGATAGCACAGACGATCTTGTCGCAGCACTGCAGATCGCGGCGATCTTACATAAATAATGTCTGAGCACCTAATAATAAGACTATTATGCTAAACGAAATATTTAATTCTTTATAATATAAATTCATACCGAACACTTTACTTCTTACATTTAAAATTAATTTTGCTTATCATGTAAGGATATAATACTAAATCCAACATAAAGATTATATAGTCTTATTTAATCGAAAAGTATTAATAATCTAAATTATTTTATCTGTACTAATTTGTGTCAAATTTGTTTCGTTTTGAGAGGAATAAAATTATATTATATTTTGAATAAACAAGTCGAGAAAATTTAATTATGTCAACAATTGTGCATCGCGGTAATTTTAAAGTAGCAGCTCGAAAAACAAAATAATGATTTGTCACATGAAAACCATGTAAAAATAATGATCGAAAAGAATTCAGGAATATATTTTATTGCTTCTCAAGAGCGTTAAATTAAATCAAAGTGAAAAGAAGGAAAATTAAATTTTATTATAATATATAACGCCTAATTCAAATAGCCGTGGCAATATGACGACACGTTCTCATTGGCTGTTAAAAGTGTATGCGCAGGAGCATTCCTTCCACCATGGAGTTAACGATAACCGGCGATGTGACAGTTCAGAATTATCGACCGTTATCGACTACGGCTGGCTATATTTACAGACGCGCGAATGTCACCGCGATATTATAGAAGATAATTTTAATAAAACGAACGTAACGAGTGTCACGATCAGCTCTTATTGTTAGTACAATACTCTTGCTGTTAAGGTGAAAAATAATAGCAGTCAATAAGAGTGGAAAATTGGAGCAATCGAGTATAGACTTTCCGAAATTTCCATTATTGCGACAAACCAGATTTCGCGGTTTTCCATCTTATAGCGTTAAACCTAACAATCATCCTTAATTGAATAATAAACTTTGAATTATTACGGAAATTGCTCTTGATCCGAAGCAGTCTTGCGTTTGCCTGAGATGGAGGATGCGCAAGAAGAGGTTAGTTATGGACGTTTCTCTATAATTATAATTAATTAAAAAATGTTAATTTTGAATTAAATAAGAAAGCTTCAATGCTTGATGTAGAGATTAAAATGATGTAAATCAGTGATTTGTTCTTAATTGATTTGTAGTGATTTTAAAACATTATACAAGATATTCCTAATTGATTGTGATAAACTTAGGAGTAGATTTTCTCTCATTAAAGATTTGATTCTGAAACCAGATGTATTTATTTGTTTTCACTAAAATATTAAATATTGGAATATTAAAATATTTTATGACTGAATAAATTACTATATTTTTACTGTTTTATGTAAGATGATTCACGTTTTTGGTTATGGTTCTAGTTGCAATTTGTGGTAGACGATGTGAGCAACATTATCAAGGAAGCGATTGAAGTGTCAATAGGTGGCAATACTTATCAGCATAATAAAGTTAATCAATGGACTTCGAACGTAGTAGAGGCTTGCTTGGGCAATCTTACAAAATTACAGAAGGCATATAAATATATTGGTATGTCAGACTAAATTTTAACCTCAATGTAAAGACTTTATATTAACGTTGATCTTTATGTATGTTTTGAAATAATCTTTACATTTCTTTAATATTAAGTTTCATAATTGCAGTAACTTGTACGATCATGCAGAAAAATGGAGCTGGACTTCATACTGCAAGTTCATGTTACTGGGATAATGCTACTGATGGCAGTTGCACAGTGCGTTGGGAAAACAAAACTATGTATTGTATCGTATCTGTTTTTGGATTGGCTCTATAAATTTATCTATCTACGTAACAAATCTTACGCTTGAAAGAAGTTCAATATTTTGGCTATTTGAGAAATTCAGTAAATGCCAGACTTTCAAAAATAAAATGTTTTGTTCTCGTTATTTGACAAAATATTTAATATTTTTGTAAAAGCTGCAGAAATTAGAGAAATAGCAGAGTACACAAATGACTGCGCTTCAAAATAGTTATGCAATGCAATGATTAATATAAATAAAATTGGACATGCATACACAAAATAGATTGTGCTGAGATATACTCAATTTTATTATATTTACTTTAACGAAAAATGATATTTTTTATCTACAATTGTAACTTCTATAAACAAATAAATGCAAGATTTATAATTCTTATATTATTGCACAATATAATTGTGCACGTTAAATGAAACAACATATATTTAGATTCGGCAAATAATTAAAAATATGTACAAAATGTTTCAAAAGAGACTTGCATAATAAATTTGTCAAAAATACTTTCTTCTTATATACTTTGTCACTTATTTCAACTATTTAAATGATTATTGAAGAACAAATTTGAACAAATTTATATATGTACAAGTTTTTAATTTATTAAATAATAATAAAGTAATTTTTTACTTGATTATATATGTATAATTATTCAATTATACGCAATGAAAACATTTTGTACAATATTAGATTATTTGTCTTTGTGTAAATATAAATAAGTAATTAGAATTAACAAATACTATTAAATTAGAAATTATTTGTATTAATTATGTCATCAGAATGGCGATAATAGAAGCATCGATTTTGCCGTCAAAATAAATAAAAATGAATTATTTAAAAACGTTTTTTTTTATATATATAGAGAACGATTGAACATTGAGTTCATCACAGTTTACAATTCTGTGGTCTGAGGTAGACTTTCATCGTCACTTAGAATAATAATATCATCATTTAAGAGAATTAAATTATAATTTAATCTACTTCCAAATTCATCGTCAATGTACATATCTTCAGTCGTATATTGGTTGCCTTGAACGTTCTGTAATAAAGATCAAAAAACAATTTAATTAATATACAAAAAATTACTTCTTTACAAAAGTTGAAAATATTATAAGAATTTATAATAATAAATTTCAAATTATAATTTCAATTTCATTATGATTTGTGTATAAAATTTAATATTGTCTCTCTTTGTCTACTTACTTTTTTATTTAAAATAGTCCTTGGGGAACCATATGTTGCCAAATTATTTAGTCTTGCGGGTAGAGAACGCCTTCTCGGTGAATCTTTCAGTATAACACTGCTCATAGGACGTATGTTAACGTATTCTCTTTCATCTTCTCTAATTTTATACGGGGTTGAGGTATTCCTTCTTGTAAATTCTATCTTATTGTAATCCATTTCTTTCGATTTCATATATTCATTCTGTGCTGATGTCTCAGATTCAATTGATGTTTTTGTAGTCGTAGAACTGAGCGTTTGGCTATTTATGAAAGCTTGATTGAAGATTTGTTCGTGTTTTGCAGTAGATTTTATATTTTTAATTTCATCCATTCCCAGAAAACTCCTGTTGCTGGGTGTCGATCTTTCGATAACTTTGATTTTTTGATTGTCATTATAACTCGTCCCATACAGATTTTCAAATACAGTTTTGCATTCTTGTATATTGCTTAGATTTAGTTTAGAAATTTTAGAAGGTGTTGTTAAACTTATTATGTTCGTGGCACGATCAAGGGCATCCTTCATGTTTTGTATGGATTGATTTGGAGTGCTTGAAGTGCTATCACTTATGTTTTTTAATGACTCTTTGTTATCTTCAATATAATTATCTTTAACAATAATAAATAATTTATTCACACACAGTAATGGAAGATTATATAAAATACATAAATAAAATTAATTTTATATCAATGAATTTGAAATTTTGAAAAATGAATCGATGTCTCTCGATTTACCTTTCTCAATTATATACGTTGCATCAGCATTTTTTACATGTGGTGTAGAATATTGTACTTTATCATCATCAGTGATAGAAGTGTTACAAATTGTTTGTTGCGATAGTAAGGAATCCTGAAAGTATAAAATAATAAGATAAAAAGATTTAGAGTTTTAAATAGTATATAACTAATAGTAAAAATAATAAAAATATATATTATATATTACAAATATAAAAAATATATATATATGTACACATACTTCATTATGTTCTTTACTGTTGCGCCCCATTCGTGATAAGCAAATTTCTTTTTCTTTTCTCCATAATGTTGATTCATAAAAGCTTTTAGCATCAGAATGCAAAACCTGAGGTTGTATTATCGCATGTTTAATACTGGGAGGCATGCTCGTGTATGGTGTCTATGGAAAATAATTTATATGAATAAACTATTAAATATTATTGTGCATATATTTATACACATATTCCATCAATTCATATTTATACATCACGGTAAATATAAAAATATACTTTATATTTTAGATAAACATTGATTTATGAATGCATCACTAATAAAAATTTTAATCGAAATAAAGTACCTTTCGCCGTGGTGTAGATAATTTTGAAATAGCTCCACCATATTCACTGGGAGATTTATTGCATTTAGGTTCCATAGCGGTTGTATGATTAGCTGGTTTGCAACGTACGTAGTCAGGACTTCTTTCTTGTGACAATAATGAGCTTGTAGCTTTCGGATCTATACAAAATTATAAGAGTAACTGAAATGCTACAAGATCGAAGTAGAGAAAATAAAAAAAGGAATCTAAATTATTGTACATATGCATTTGATATATTCTTTTCGATTATTTTATACGATTATAGACATTTTGATATTTCTATTTCAATCTCATTAATATGTAATGTTGTATATAAGCATTAAATTAATTAAATTCGTAAAATAACTACTTGTAATAAAGATATAATGTAACTATAAATGTAAAAATGTTCGTAACGCTAAATATAAATATTTAAAATTTGTATATTAATTGTTCTTACTTGAAGGTGAATAAGAAAAGGTTGAACAAGGCAAGGTGGAGTTGCTCCCAAAGAAAAAATCTTCCCTTCTACTCGCTATTAATTTTTTTAATCGTTTTATATTAGCACGTGCATCATCTCCCTCATCAAGATCTTGTACTATATTTGAAATTTCTGCACAACGAGTGCAAGAAGTGGCAGTCTCTACTTTAATCACGGGACTCGTGACGCTGTCATTGATTACAGTAATTTTTTTCGTATTATTTTTAGAATCTAAGTCTCCATTGCATTGCTCTTTCTTAGATTTAACAAGTTGGTTGGACGTAGATTTTTTCTCTGTCATAAGCTGACATGATTGTTCTGTGAATGATTTTTTGGTCACTTTATTTTGTGTAGGAGACGTAGAGGAAGTCTTTTGATATAATGTATCATTATATAAAAGATCATTATTATTATTATTATTTCTGGTTTCATTTATAAACGTGTCATTCTTCTCTTCTTCCTCATATATCATCTTGAAACATGGAAAAAAATTATAAGTAAAATTATAACGATGCATTCTGGTGAATAAAGAATTACTATATGAAAAATTAATAATCGATAGAGAAAATATGTAAATGTTAAAAAATTATATTGCCAAATATTGTATCTATTGCAAATTTACCAACAGTCTGTGAAGCTTTTTTCCTACTCTGTCCATGTCTAACATTATCATTGTCTCATCAGGATGTAATCCAGCCTCTAGTAAGCTGCGGAGAATTAATGGAACATTTTGTAAGTTTATAACAATATCTCGTTTTCGCGTCATGTGTTGCCGTTCTACATTTGATTGATCGTATCCGCTCCACGGTACATTTCCTATGAAATATTATATAATAATCGTTATTAAATTACTGTTAATGATTTGGTTCCCTTTATACAATTTTAATACTTTATTTAAAAATTATTACAATTATTTTTTTATTAAAAAATAAAAAATTATATTATGTAATATATTATATGTATATATAATTAGTACAATGTACTTGCCTGTACACATTTCCCAAAGTAATAGCATCAAGCAGTAAATATCAATTTTTTTATTGGGATGTAATCCGTAACATATCGCTGGTGCTTGCCATTTAAAATTCTCTAATCGTAAATATTTTTCATAATCGCGCTCTACACATGTCTAAAAACAAAAAAAAAACAATAGCAAATATTTTATTATAGGAAAAAACAATATTGAAAATTTATTTTAATATTTCATACTGATTTATATATTTTATATCTTTATATATTAAATAAGAAATAAATCTAATTAAAAAATTGCGATATAAGAAATCGACTCTTGCAAGACTTTTGGGATAAAATTATAAATCGTGATTAATATTTAGATTTTATAATTTTATAATTATTCATATAGTAGTTTAAAATTTTTTTTCTTTGCGATAAGATTTTCGACGTGATTCTACGTTAACTATAATATTTATTGTAGAAAATAATTTATCTTATTTAATTATGAGTTCCGCGTTCCAGACGGCGCATGCGATTAGCATCGACACGGTACAGCGAATTTATTCAGAAACGAACATTTTGTCGAAAACAATGCTAGTCGTTTCCGTTGGTGAAACGTTCATGGGTGTGTCATGGAATCGCGGATATGACGTAATCCGTTTCATTATAGTCTATTCTGTCTGTAAACTTTTTTAAATTTGCTAACGAATGATCTTAAACTCGTAAAAGTGCATTTGTCGCGTGCATAAATTAATAGATGTGAATAAAAAGTAAAATATACATATACCTATTGTTTCATTAAAGAATAATGAAGTCACTTAGAACATGTTAAATTATTTAAATTATATATACAACGTGAAAGTATAGAAATATATATATACATGTGACATTCTAATACATATATTTGTAGGAGTTATCTTACAAATTTATATAAATTTTATAATTTTAGCAAATTATTTAGATCGTTTATAAAAAGATATTTGTATAGAGATTTGTACTTTAAAATATAATTGATATTTAAAATACTTTATGTATTTATATTTTAAGGTAAAACTATATACTAATATTTTTAGAATAAGGCATAAAAATCTCAACATACTTTTTCTATTTCTTTAGCCAGTTCCCATCCACCAAGTTTGACAGTCGTATCGGATGCAAAATAAACACAGTGCGAGCTAATCGCTGTATGTATGTATCCCCGCATATGACAATATTTTAATGCGTCTGCCAATTTTATACCAATTTGTATGATTCTTTGTACGTTTATTCGTTCGCCTTGCTCGTGCAAGTAATGGTACAATGAGCAGTCGATGGATTCGAAGATAGAGACGAGACCATGCTCGCTTGTGTATGTTGTAGCCATCAGCAGCAATATATTAGGATGCCGAATTTCACTAATAATTTCAAAATTATTATGTTATATAAGAAATATAGGATATCTTAATTTTTATATAAAAAATAGTTTTTAATGATATTTATCTTAATATAAATCTTATTATATTTATTATAAATTGGAGAATTACTTATAATGATATTATTAGAGGAAAATATATTTAAAGTCTGAATATATATAAAAATTAAAAATATAAAAGGCACAAAATATCTAGGAATGTAACTAGAAAAAATTTTATTATACCAATAAAACTAAAAGAAAAAAAATAAAAGATAGGGTAAGAAAATATTATAATAAAAATATATTAATTAATAATATTGACAAACTTAAATTACATGTATAAATGCTGTTTTTATTAGAAAAATAAAAAAAATGTTAGAAAATTGCAAAAAGATATTTCTTTTAATAATTACACGATTTTCAATATTAAGAAACGAATCTTGAATGATAAGTTAAATCTTTATATACTTTCACTTTACTAGTTTAAAAACGAATGATTTTAATTATATCCACTTTTTTAATATTTGATAGAGGAATTCTTACTTAAGGATTTCTATATCTGTTTTTATAGCATCTCGACACATTGGTAAAACATGTCTCTTCAGCGTCACTTTCGTATTGTTCCATTCTGCAGAAACCAACTCGAGACATTTGTTCTCTGTGCCTACAATACATCCAATCTCGAGTATTTCAGAAGCACGTATATGTGGAACACCTGGGATAAACTGTCCATGTTTTTGTAGCTTTCGATTGTCTTTTTGAGAGGACTGCTCAGCGTTCTGCTCCTTGGATAAGTAGACAACCCAGTCTGGATCGGTGATCTCTCCGTTGGACGTTTGATAATGATTCGCAAATTGTTGTAATAAATGTCGGCAATATTCACTGCAAGAAAATTTAGAATTAATCTATCAATCTTATCAGATATAAGTAGATTTAACTGAAAACTATATCGTTAAAGAAAAAAATGCTACTCTCATTTTTATAATAAATATTTATTTTTGCAACATATTAAATTTTAAAATTAATTTTAATGATTCAATCACAGTGAGAATATGTACCTATATAAAACCATGTTATTAAAGTCAAGTAAAATCTCTTAAAATTATAAAAAATATGAATTTAGCATTGTTGAGATTATTTATTAACCTCAACCTATTAATGTGATACTTGATTTTGTTTTTTAAAAATAAATAAGATCAGAACATGCAAATGTGTCTTCAATTAAACTTCTAAATTATTATTGCATCATCCTCTGATCATTTCTATTTTAGTAACACATAAATAGTACAAAAGAGAAAATTATTGCACTAATAAAAGTAATAATTAAGTCAGTTACAATTATCACACATAATACTAAATTTTAATGCTAAAACGAGTAAAATAATTAAGTATGTACGTAGGATAATAATTTAAAAATTATAGTCTTTGATAAATGTTTCAATTATGAGATGAGATATTATCATAAATTTATTATATTAATATATTATGTGTTATTACTACTATAGCATGATATTAAGCCAGTTCTTAGTTAACTTTTTATGTATGATTCAACATTTTTTTTTCTTCCATATGAAGAAAAAAGAAAGAAAAATAAATCGTGTATAGGTTTAATTATAAAGAACAGAGGCTTATAAAATAATATTATATTGTCACTTTAACATTTATTTGCTCGTGGAGATAATTTTTTCATGATTTATTAAAATTACCGAGTTATATTGAAGACACTGTTCATAATTACTTTTCACAGATTACAATATGACAAGAACGAAGCAATATGTATTTCGTTGAAAAGAGAAGAGTAGACATGCACCAAACACGATTATTTGCATAACTGAGGAAACGAAATGCCCATAGCAACCATAAAATCATAGTATAAGCGGCGATATCGCGTCATGTCGATTGTTACGCAAATATGCGTGTAACCGCGACTTTGTAATTTTCAGATACATACATTAAACGTTACGTTACGAATATAGGCTATTATGCAGGTATACATATATGGTATAGGTATAGACTTATACATTTTTATACAAATAATTTTTAAATCTCATATACGAATAAAACTAATAATGGACAATAAAGTTAACTTAAAGTAAGTAAATTTAATATAAATTATAAAGTATGAAATAAAATATAAGAAAAAAATGCTATATATATTTTGTAAATTTTTAAATTATGAAGTAAGAAACCAAGCACTTTACAATCAAAATTAATTTAAAAAATGCTGATGTCTAATGAAAATCTAGTTGCTAGCAGAATTCTATGAGCTAATAATTTAGACATAAAAATATTTTATCTGTTTTTTTTATATTATAGCTGCACAAGTGTACACTTATGGAGCAAATGTGAAATATTTAGCGAAAGCAAGAAAATTTTAGTGCAGGAATAGAAAAGACCTTTTTAAAATCTAAAAGATAATGAAAAGAATAAAATAATAATAAAAAATTTAAACTAGAAAAATTTACTGATGACTATGTAATAAAAAATCAGTAAAATTACTAAATTTAATGAAATTAGAGTAGTTGGAGTAAGTTTACAAAAATATGATTATAGATACATAATCTTCAGAGAAAGTTTCCTTGGGTGTCAAAGATAAATAAATTATTTAGTTGTCAATCGTTTCATCTCAGAGTTCTTGCAGTAAACTAATATACCTGAAAGAGCGGGGAGCCATACGTGAAGGAGTTCCACTGCCTGTGGGAAATTCGAAATAATTGAAATTTTCCATGACAAAGCAAATTAATCTTTGGCGCTTTGCATAGATTTTTGTCTATCTGGCATATAAACATCAATCGGTTTATAAATAAGCGAGTGTAATTAATCGCAGAATTAACATCACTTTTCATCAAGTAAATCGTCACGCTTGTAAAAACGTATTTACTGCGAAAAAACACGCGAGTTAGTATTGCCTTTTTTGCATGCATGCATACAAAACACACAGTAGCGAAAAATTTGATAAAGATCATCTTGTCGCAATACAGTAAAATCATAAAATAAAATTTACCAATTAATGAGCGTACATTTATGAAAACCTTAACACTTATATTCACAAATTAAAGATATGAAGTAGGAATTGTCAAGATCCAGAGATATTGCTTATGTTTACGTTACTTCAAATACTTCCTATTTTTACTAGAGAGGGCATAATATAATTAACCTATTATCACACAGAGATCGCTGTCTCGGAATACGGGGCCGTGATTGGCTGCTTCAAGTTCCGTTCTGAGTCTTCGATCCGTTAGAGTTGAGGCGCTGCCGGCAGTCGGCGTTAAAAAACGCGCGAAAGATATCGGCTTCTACGTTATTTATCCTTTAATTCGACTCTCGAGAGTGCTGCACGTTTGCTATCGGTATTCGCGGATTGACACAAATGCTCGTCCGTAGTTGGAGATCAGAAGATTCTGACGCATTTAATTCTTGGGACAATTTCCCGCGCGATCGCTGCGTTCCGAAATTGGCGCGAACGACGTGAAGGGAACAAGAAGGGTGATGAAGCCAAGCACTGCAACTTCGTGTCACTTCTGGAGTTCGATTGGCAGATTCGGTGGCAGATTCGTGGTCGAATTTGTGTAGAGTGTAGAATTATACGATGCGGACGAGGTCGAAAGGAGCCAAACGACAATCAGTTTTGCCTTTTGGATAATGCGTCGAAATAGTCTTTCTAAGTTGGTACGTAATAGATCTCATTTCAACCTTTATTTAATTGGAATGTGTATCATGTATATGGAGTAGCTCTAGCTACAGCTTGACGAAGATAAAAATCGGAGCGCAAGTCGAACTTAAAGAGAAAGTATTATATATAACGTTTCATTGTCTCAATTTTCATCTAGAAATTTCGTTTATCCTTCTGTTTTTCTTCTCTCATATTTTACAATACTTTCGCTCCACTTTAATTTTCGCCAAGGTAACACTCCATGTTTAATTTTCTGTGTAAAATCTTGTTCTGGAAAAGGAAAATAAAAGGTATTTGACCAGATGTCTAGAAAGAGTTTATTATCTTTTTCCTCTCTTATTAGGATGTAAATTAATGTAAAAATAATATAATTTACTCTAGTAAAAATATTTTTTAGTTATATTAGTAGATATTAAATAAAATTAAAAATTTTTTAAGTGTTCTCTGTCTCTGAGCACTTATCTACCAACTTACGTATGTTTAAACTACTTTTAAAGTTAATTTAATATTTGCGATTATATATACGTCGTTAGAGAGAGAGAGTATGTACAATACGTTAAGATACGTGATGTGCTATTGAACGTCCAGTGCATCGGTCGTAAAATTTTCGTTTTGAAAGCGCAGATTTGAAGTTATTTTCGTTGAAATACGATTTGATGTAATAAACATCATAATTAGCAACGGATTTAGAGAATTTAGATATAATTGGTGATTAAAAAGCTCTTGTAATACCGAAATCTTGGTACAAAAGTGATAGGTTCGTCAAGTATATTCCGTGCAATCGTAGAATCATTTAGCCATTGCGACAACTATTCACAGTTTTAAAAATTAAAAATACAAAGTAACCATGGTAATGTTGCAATTTATTTAGTGAGATTATTTTCATGAATTAATTTCGTATGTATTGAGATTATTATTTACGATCAGAATCCTGCTCGTTCTGTAGATTGCATTTACGATCAAATATTGCTACTTTATAATAACTTCCCTCAGACTGCTAACATTACTAGTGAAAAATATATGTTGTTTAAAGATTAATTATCATTTTTATTTTCAAGTCTTGAAGATATTTTACATACACAATTAATGTGTCTTGAATTAATAAATTTATTAAGATTGTTATAAAAGTAGGTATATGTGTGATATTAACAAATTTAAATATTTGAAAAATTGATTCAAAATATTCTTTTTTCAGTGTAAAAGTTCATATCTAGAACTATTTGCAATCTAATGCTGTATAAGTACATGCTACTATGGACAATTAACTTAAAGGAATAAGGAAAACCTGGAGGATACATCAATTTCATTATCTTTTAGGTATTTGATTCTCTTCATAAAGTATGAATAAAAAGAGGTAAATTTTTGGAAAAGATATATATATATATATACATATAATATTAGAATATACATATGTATATTAATATTGTATATAAAATATATATATATATAATATATGATAAACTTGTATTATCTTCCATTGCCAAATAAAATTTAATAATTAGATATATATTTTTTCTCCAAGCATATATATCAGGAGACACGGTTGTGTCTCCTATATGTACATATAATTAAGAGAGAGTTGAGAAATTAAAATAAATTGAGATTCTAAAAATTATCCTGAAGATGTTATACGCTTGTATTTTAATAATATATTGATATGGGAATTAGCATGTGATATTTTCATATAAATGTTTTTCCAAAAATTTACTTCTTAAAATAAAATTTGTCAACAATAAATAATAATCGTAATTTTTAATGTAATTTTTGTAATTTGAAAAACATTACGAAAATGGCTGCTGAAAGTGTCTTTGGATGTGTAATAATTTATAATACAATATTCAACAAAATTAAAGCATCATTTGTGTAAAAACTAAATTTTAAGATAATTTTAATAACTTCGTGAAAAATTATCGTATCGAGATGTTTAAAAAAACATTTTACATGTTTTTCAAATATGTAGAAAAAATGGTCTTAATAATATTTCATGGAATTACATAAAATAAAGATGTATCAAATCTCAAAAATTTTTTTATGAAATTTGATAAATTTTACAGTCCAAATTAAAAATTGCACATAAATGCAGTTTGCCACATTTAAAAGAATGAATTTTTTCCTTTAAATTGCTTTTTCATTAAGCTCTGTACGATTTTTTATCGAGTTATTGAACATTAAAGCAAAAATGATATTTTTGCTTCAATGTTGAATAACTCGTAAAAATCATACACAGTTCAATAAAAAAATCATATTAAAAGTAAAGACTCACTCTGCCGAATATCGTAAGTAAACCGCATTTATATGCAATTTTGAATTTGTGTCATGAAACTTCGCAAATTTTATAAAAAATTTTGAAATTTGATGCATCTTCATTTATGTTTGTATAATTCTATATAATATCTGTAAGACCATTTTCTAAAGTACTGATCTGAAAAGCAAAGATTTCAACCTATAAAATGCTTTTTAAACATTTTCATCTCGATATGATAATTTGTTACGAAGTTATTTACCATCTTGAAGTTTGTCTATTTTTACTGAGTAATTTTTACTGTAATAGATAATACTTTAATTTTGTTATAAGTAGTGTATTTGAAAAACCCAGAAAAATTTAATTTTTGTTTGGTTCAACAAAATAAGATCTAACAAGAGTTTTCAACAATCTTTTTGTTAGTTATACTCATTTGCATGTTAAATATATGTTTTTACGTGCGGTATGTTAGATATGCACACTTACTTGCGGCCGTCTTGCGGCATCGGTGATGTGGACTGTACATCCCTGTCCAATCGCGTGGCTGTTCTGAAAAAAAAAAAAAAAGAAACGATATCAGAGATTTTTTTATTTTTAATGATACTTATGGCGAATTCGATTGGGATGCACCAGTGCAGGGTGATTGCACCAGTTCATCTTTTTTCCTTTTCCCTTCTCCTGAAGAGAAAAGGAAAACAAATGAACTCAGGTGCACTCAGTGCGCACTAGTGCGCACTAGTGCATCCAATCGAATTCGCCATTAGCATTCTAATTATATTTTAATTTTGAGTACATTTTTGTTCATAACCAAATACTTTTAATTTCATTGATAGTACATATGATTTATTGTAATTCGATAACGAAATTCGTATCAAAATTTCCTTGAACAATCATACGTTTCGTTTTTGTATATACAACTTACTATTTTCTTAAGAAAACTTTTCAACAAATAAAGTGTTTTATTGAAACTTAAAATCATTAAACTTTTGGTAAATACATTATCTTCATTTGCCAAAAGTTTAATAATTTTAAATTTCAATAAAATATACAATAGATATAGATATAATTATATCTTTTATTCCGATTAATTTAAATTTAAAAATGTAATTTAAAATTAATTTTAATTTAATTTGAATTCACCTTAATTTAAAATGAATAAAATTGAATATGAAAACGTTACATGCAGAAATATATTTTAAAATATTAAAAATTAAACAATTTTGTAAACTTTTTAAAGTAATATTATTTTAGTACTGGTAAATTTCTTTAATATATATACGAGTATATATATATATTTTATTTCAGTTTCATTAGAAAGAGAAAGTTAATTAAATTAAAAATGTTTTTAATGAAATTATCATCTACGAACCGCGCATGATTGATAGATTTTAAAGAGGTAAATAAAGAAAAATAAAATAAAGGTTTCTGATGTCAGTAGGATGAGCCATATCGTGAAACAGAGGCAAAAACCGATAGAAGATCGATATAAATTGTACATCCATGGCAATTGCTGCGCGACCGCAAGATCGATCGTATCCGCAAACTTGCACTTTCCCCGACGATTCGTTCTCCACGGATCACAGAACAACGGCGTCTGTTACTTCGTGACGCGAATGATTTCAGATTCTTGTTAACACGCTTCTCTCTTCCCTTTCCCTTTCTTACTATATTTCACTGGTTGATATCAGAGATTAGGGATTATGATAAAAATACGACTATCTCAGTAATCTTATAAGATAATAATATTAATTAAATTGAATTAATATCCGCTCAAATAAATTTTTCAAATTAAACTTGACCTGGGAGGTTTATTAAGTTTAATTTTAATAATATTAAAATATGTTTTTTTAATATGACTCAATAAATTTAAAACTAATAAAAAGAAACAGGGCTACGAGCCAATAAATTTTTTAAATATATTAGAATAAATTAAAGATTTTAAAAAATTATTGGTTCGTAGCCCTGTTTCTCTTTATTAATAATAATATTACAGTAATAATATGAAATTGTTATTAATAAGTTAATACGTATTGTTGATAAAAAATAATGACATGTTTTTATGATTAACACTTTTCTAAATGAAAGGGAAATCTATGTGCATTATATGAAGGCAAAAAAATTAATAACTTGCACCTTTTCAGTCTTATATTAATGATAATAAATGCATTTAATTAAATCACGAGTTTTAATTATTACGTTATACTATGATTAATTGAAATCTTTTTAACATCTTTTATTGAGAAATATATTTATGTTTTTACGTTAAATTTAGGGATCTTGACGAATTTTCTGGGATCTTAAACGATTGAATTACATACACTTACTTTTTAATCCATGAAAATGACAATAGTTTCTTCATCGCACACGTATTCACGGAACAAAGTCGTGTAGCGTGACAACCATTTCGCACTAATTTGAAATTAGATTTGTCAGTCTTAAGAGCCAAGATCAACCTTGGAAAGAACACGAAAATCAACAAACTTATTCCATCCTAAGCAATATTTAATTTATATATGTATATATATATATATATGTGTATGTATAATACTATTTATTCTTTTTAAAACGGTGAAATAGATGACACTTTAAAATGCGGAATGAAAGAAACTGATGTTAATTATTTAAAGAAATTTCGATATTAAGATAATACCAAAGATTATTATTTAGATATATGTAATTACCAAATCTGTAAACTTTTATTTTAAATTTTGTAACATTTTAGAATTTATAAGATCCCAAAATACTTGAGCATGTAACTTTTTTCATATACAACTTCATTTATCTTAATAATTAAAGTGAAATCAAAATAAATTTAAATTAAATTCAAATTGATTTTAAATTAACTGATATGAAAAATATATATTTATAAATGATTTCTGTCTTTTACTTTATTAAAGTTCTAACATTATTAAACTTTTGATAATAAAATATGCCATTAAAATTTTTACAATAGAATGATATAGATTTTTTTAATTTAACACTATCAATTATGTTTTGTATGTTACTAAAATCGAGACTAATATACATAGTAGGAACATATCATTATATGACTTAATGCGAACATTAATTTATTTATTGCACGAAATGGATTTGACGATTTTCACGGTTTTTAAACATATACATATAAATCATATTCTAAACGAGAATAATATATGATAAAGCAAATCTAGCCGGTAGAAAGTTTCTTTGTATTTTAAATCAATTATCTGGTAAATTTAATTTAATGTAAAATAATTTTTGTTGGATTATGATACTAGAATAGCGCTATTATTATTCTTATAGAAAATAGTAATATGCAATTATTTATGAAGTTACAACGTCTCTCTACTGAGCGTTTATATGCCTCATTGAGCATCAGCTGAAAGTTTATATAGGAAGATACCATAAATTCACTTACAAGATCATTTGCCGTAGAAATTCATTTATGTAATATTTGTAAGAGCTATATTAAATTTTATGTATAGATGTACAAATTTTAATATTTAATGATAGATATTGGTGATTTCTGCTAATATCATCGCAGTGTATATATATATATATATATATATATATAGACTTGGCAATTATAATATTTCTATTAAAATAGAAAATATATGTTTCAGACATTTTAATTTAATAAATCAAAATAAGCGATTTTTGTTTTACTCAAGGATATATTATTTATATTATTTTTGTGAGATAATTTTTGGATTTATATATTGTACTTTTATTATATAAAAAGGATTAAGAAGTGTTTATTACAATATTTTTTTAGTATTTATTATTCAAAAAATATGATAATAAACATTGTAAATCCTTCTTATATATAATAAATGTATATAAATTTCTAAAAATTATCTTTTATTCACATTAATTTACACAATTATAGCATTAACATCAAGATCAGTTGTTCTGGGTCAGTTTATTCAAGATTGCAGTCGTTCCGGTTTAGATAAAGTTTTTTTATCGCTTCTAGATTCACAAACTTCACGGCTTTCTTCGTTACCCTTGCTCAATGGCACAATGGCCGTTTCTTTTACTTGTCGCCGACGCAATTCGCAGCTTTAAATACCAGTGCAATTTTATAGCGGTACGGACCAAGTACGGTAATACCGCACGATCTCGCGCCGCTCGACGAGGAGATAATGGCAGTCATTATACGAGCTGCGAGTACACGGCCGGTTAAAATGTCTAGTTAACGGTATAGTCTTCATTGCCCAAACCCACAGGGGGCCTAGCCGCTATTCTTTCGACCGTAATTAGCCTGTGTCTTCGATACGCTCGAACTTTTCGGAACATTTTCATGAGATGGAAAGCAATTAAGATGTTGCGCTACAGAGAAGAGAAACTCATACGGAAGTGCAAATCGTAGAATCTCTCCCGCGCGTGCACATGTTCTTCCGCTTATGTTACTCTCATATCGTACCCAATACATGTCTTTCTTTCTCACAGGCGCAGCATCGATTGAGCGAGCTGCTATCACTCAATTATCTTTATGTAAATTCGAATTGAGATATCTATCGTGATGCATTTCTCTTCCGCCCGATAACGCTCGTAGATATCGAGCTCGATAAAATAACGCTATAAATTCAGTTCATGTTGCCACTGTATTTTCCAGAGAAATATTTGTTGAATTCTCTTCGGAAAGAGATTAACCTAATAAAGAATTTCTCGCAAAACATACAAAAGTAATTGCAAGAGGAATAAATTGTTTTGATAGATATAAACATGTAAATTATATTTTAAATAATATATACGAAAGTTGCAAGAGATATTTTGATATATAATTGAGAGATATAATTTGTTAGGTATCTGATGATTCTATTCGTTTTATGAAGAGATGTAATGCGTTTCTTTTTATATTTTGTAGTAAGAAATTTAAATGCATAATAGATTAACAAAAGAAATAACATTGTGGATGCCAAAATTATTTTTGTTTAATGATACTGGCGATATTTAATATTCGTTTTGTTTAATGAACTGATTAATTATTTGGCGCTTTTATCAGTTTATTTGATACCAATATCGGTGACCTTCACCTTATATCAAGCATACGTCGATACAAAGTTAGATACTGTTTTCTTAAATCAGAAAATTCCAAATTGCTCTATTAAAATTATATGAAGATAATAATAGAAATGATACAACAAATATTCAGAAAACTTGAGGCAAGTGTATTGGCTTTCTTTTAATTTGCACAATTCATTAATAAAAGAGATAATAAATAGATGTTAGAAGCTTGATTCGACGCGTTAATAATATGATAAAATTTTGAAAAATTTAATTTCTTTTGTAATGAATTATAACATGTTTCACATTAATAAAATTTGTTTATATCACTGTATATCATTCATAGAATATTTTGTACTCTTAATCCATTTTAGAATCTATAATAACATATTGGTACCGATAGAATCATCAAAACACAATACGTTTTTGTCGATTCTGCTTTAGATATTGTTATCGAACGAAAGCATGATTTCTGGTAAATAAGTAATTCAGCAATATATAATTGAAAACGCAAGTGCCGAAAGCGAATTGAGATGTAATATATAAAGTACCTCATATATATAATTGTTGAAAATAAATTCAATCAACTATCATAATTTGAATGAATCGAAAAATAAATTCAAATCGAACGCATGGAGAATGTAAAACTTAAAAATTGTAATATATTTTCTGTCAGTTTCCACCAAAATGTTTTCCAAACACACTTTATTGGTACTTTTCTCTTGCGATTTTCGATTTAAAATGAAAGCAACTTACTTGAACCATTTAACTATCTTGCATACACCCATGTTGCACGTGGTTTCGCGCTGCTAAATTTCGACAGGTTGATTGACGTCGCGATGCTGATGAGCACTACGAAACTCGACTGCATGCACGAGAGTGCCGCGCGCGATTCTCTCCCTTCTCATGCACTGCGAAACTGCGGCGGTAATGTGTACTGACGATACCTTGGTTCTGATAGTTGCGATGGGCGTAGTTTTAGGCACGGTTCGCTAATCGTTCCCACTCCGTTCTTTTATCCTGTAGCTTTCAATCGACTGATTGATCCCATTATACCAAAAAAAAAACAGCGATAAACGGAAGGACGAAGAAATAAAGTATTGATTTAAGGTTGAAAAATCTGGTTCATTCAAGCATCTATAGAAACACATACACATAATTAGAAAGAGATTAATTTTTTAATAATATACACGTTAATTTTTTAATAACAAAAATAAAAACGGTTTTATTGAAGTATCCAAAAATTTATATAGATCTGTAAATAATTCTATTTGGACTATCGAAATACAATAATCATATATGGGACGTTTAAACTGGTTACTAGAATATTAAAACTTCTTGCAGTGTTGTTTGAAACATTTAAGTGTGCTACGTAATTATTCTGATAGCTCAATAAAATTATTTTCACATAAAAATGTAAAAATAATTTTATTATCTAACTAAATTTTTAAATGTTTTGAAACAGTTTTTTCCATGTATGGTACAATACATATTATACATAAAAAATTGTATTGCAACTCTAAATATTTAAAAGAATTGAATTACATTCAGATTTATTTACAAATTTATAGTTGTTATAGGATATCTTGTACATAAAAAAATAACGTATTTTGGTGTTTATTTGTTATGATATTTTTACTTTTATTTATGAAATCTCAAATAAAAATTATTACAAGCCTATATATATTAAATAATTAATACTGTTATAATAAAAGTATTTTAATTATTATGAATAGGAACGTTTAATTGACAAAAGAATTTTGTGCAATTACATGGTATTTTCATGATAATTTAAGACGTCTGGAAAGCTGAATTCTTAGACAGTAATTACACAATTCTGAAACTAGCTAGCTTTGTACGGAATCTCCGTGCGTAACGAAGTGGTCTGATATCGCGTTCCGAGTCTGCGCCTTGGCACGCCTTTTTTCGTCGGATTGGTACACGAGAGCATACCGGTACCGGTACAATCGGTGCGATGACTGATAACGAACAATTGCAACACGCAGTCAGCAGCACAAACATAGAATTGGACCACTGCGTATAGAATAAATTGTATTTTGTAACGTGAAAGAAAGGACACGAAAAAACTCTTAATTTTTGTACTATTTATCTACATTATGAATTCACAAGGAAAAAAAATTACTTTTACATTTTATTTAACTTAAATAAAAAAATGTTTCTATGAGGGAGAGATTGAGTGGAATATTAGTGAATCTCCCTACATGTTAATAACAAGCCATTCCGAAAATTAAATGTGCAGGATTTATACTTTTTTATGTTCTAATATTTGAATAATTTAAATTATTTTTGTGCTGTATTTCTTGAGATAATGTAAAAATACCAATATTTCTTTTTAACTAGTTTAAAATTACAAAATTACATTATTTCATGACTTTATAATTGATACTAAAAATAATTATTTTTATTATATTTAAATAATTTGTTAATGTAACAAAACGTTTCTATAAATAAAATAAATATTTGATTGAGATAAAAGATTAGATTAAAAAACATATTTGTTTAGTTTCGTTTTTATTAACAAATTAGTTCTATACAGCTTTTCATGTTTCATAAGAATTTTGTGTTCAAACTATATATTAATATTTATATTGTTCAGAGATTCACACGTTTCTCGGCGCAAAACGTTTTTCTTCATAATATGTTACTTATGTAAATTATATCACTATATATAATTAAATTTCTTCTACATATTCATTTTATACATCTTTTATGTATAATATTTGTATTAAGACTATAAATATTCAAATATTATAACACTTAAATTATTCGAAACAATGATTATTATAGTTACTAATACTAACTACTAGTTATTACTAATAGTTACTAAGAGTATTTTGCATAATATTAGCGAGTGCTATTATCTTCATTTGTATCTTCACATTTTTGTGTATTTCATCACGTTTCTTTCTTCAAGGTGCCTTCATCTCTTGTTTTACACAGAATTTGAAGGCTTCCCAACCCTCGTTGCGTTGTTGAGACTATAAAAGATCGAGTTATTTCGCATCAATTAACAATGATTGTCATATTTCCATTGCATTCTATAAATTTATCTGAAAATATTATATGTGAGCCTGAGAAATGACAACCATTCGTACAGGTCTCTTCTATTTTATAGCAAGCGTTATTTTGACGGTTTTATTTCATACGAAATGTACGTATCTTCTAAAGTAGTTCTTTGAAAGTGAAATACTATATGTACATTTCCAAAGTCTGTATAAATCTGCGAGACTTTACCTTAAAACCTCTGTGCAGTCGATCTTTCATAATTGCTATAAACTCTTTATAGGATAGTTGGCCGTCTCCGTCCACATCGAATAGTGCGAAGACTGTATCGATTATGTGAGTCGAAAGCATTGTTCCCGTGCATATCTTTACTGCGCGTTGAAATTCATCTAAAAAAAAAAATAACATTTAAAAAATGTAACAAAAAGGATCATCATGTTTGAAACAATTTACATTTAAAGGAAATAAAATCGATTAATTTAATATTATGATGAATATTTTGACGTGTAACAAATTGATTTGATTATAAAATCTTTATTCATTGATTAAGATTTTTATTAATTCTTTACCTTTGGATATAGGATGATCAGCCAATGTATACATTCGCATCGCTATTGAAAAGTCATCCAGATTGTTCAGAAATTGATAGAAACGCCGGAATTCCTCAAAGGTGATACCAATATGCAAGTCTGCTCGATCTAACATTCTATCCAAGTACTTGTCGTATCTGTGAATTTAATTGTTCATTTTGCACAACTTTTAAATTAATAAGAAAATACATTTAGGATGTAAATTGAAAAATACTTAAATTGAAAAATTTTGGGTGTCACTTATCTTGACTCAATTTAAAACAAAAATACATAAGGTATTGATAATAAAATACTTATGTATATACATATAAGGCATATAATTTGAATATCTTGCTTATATCTTTATATAATATTTAAAATAATAGTTCACATCGTTTCTCGTAATTATTAAAATATTATGTTGAGAATATAGCTTTTATAATTATTTAACTTACTCGTTCGGTTCGAGGTACGTGTATCGTAACAAAATTTTGGCAAAATCCAATTCGTTAATTGTGTTGTGTCCTTTGCTAAATTCGTGGAATTCCAACTCTAATATTTCATGCTGTAAATTCTCCATGAAGTGCTTGAAATCGTCGTATCTTAATTCATTAGTACCATCTTTGCCGAAAAAGTGTACCATCAAGGTAGTATCCACAGCGTGACGTCGTTGTAAACCCTGTGTACACACAAAATAAAAAAAATATATACTAAAATAAATATTTATATTAAAAACTCCTGTTATGTGTGACTTAAAGATGACTATCTATCTACATACATTTATTATAAAAATTAAATAAAAAAGCCTTAGATCCTGTTATTACAACAAATTAATTGATGTCTTCGTTAGAAGACTATTTAAACGTTGATCATTGTTGATTTTTTTTGGCTAATTTAATAGATTCTGTTACTAATTTTTGTTTATTCTAACTTCTTACTTTTCATCTTATTTAAAAATGTGTGTAAGTAATATCATGATACCTGATCGTCATCGATGAATTGACCTTGAATTTCTTCTGGTGTTCTCTGACGTTCCTGTAATTGTTCTAATTCCTCTTTGGTTTCGCATCCATGACGGCCCCTCCAAGCGTGACTGAATATCTTCTCCATCTGTACCAAAGATGAAAGTGTGAAAGGGAATAATTACTATTGCGACAGATTAACGTGATGTTAACACTTTTTACTAATAGATACATGTACCGGGATTACATAATACAAAGGCAAAGTAATAGCAGTATTTCAGCGTCCAATGTATATCTGAAATAAGTGTTAAATAGTATTAGAGTAGTGGTTATTGACATATTAAAAAACAGGTGTTTTTGATGGAACTGATATAAGCTGCATATTAATTATCGAATATTGATTAGTAAAATTCGAAACAGATTAGTGATGTTTGTGATTCCATATGTTTGACTGTACTGGATCTGCGGTGTATATCCATAAAGACATTAATAGGTATACATATATTTAAAATATACTATTTATATCTTAAAACAATTAAAAGATTGTATACGGCATAATGTATAATACAGATTTCAGTTGATTTATTAGTTTCAATAAATTTCATGTTATTGGTAATTATAAAATATAATGTTATTTTATATAATTTATGTTGCTATTTTATATATTAAATAAATAGACATAGAGATATAACATATTAAAAAGTATTAGAAAGACGTAAAACATTAAGATTAAAATATTAAATATTGAATAAAAAATATTATGCAAAAAGAAATAATTTATTAGATGAGATAAATGTTAGACACAACACGTATTGATTTATAGCATTTTACATATTTGTAACTTACATAAGAATTTATGACGATTTCATTTGATTTATTCGGATGAGTTTTGCGAAGTTTTGCCTTGCCTAGATTCTCTTCGCTTGGAGTAATTATAGCACGTAACTAATTTGTTAAAATAAATAAAAGAAGCATTAGCTTTTGACAGAAAATAATGCATTATAAAATTAATAAAATAAAAATATTAATTGAAATTATAGCAAAAAATATTTATTTAAAAAATGATAAGATTGGTAAATATTAAATAAATTAAAAAAATGTAATACATATATATTAAGGAATAATTAATATATAATACATTTTTTAATGTAACAAATTCCGAAGTTTTATTTAAAGATTTTGGAAAAAAGTCTTAGCAATATAAGTATTCTGAAGAAATCAATTAATATTTGC